GAGGGAATACTTAGTGAAATTGAAAAATTATTTAGGGTTAACTCTGTGGTGGCAGCACAGAAGAATCTGCCAAGAGATGTGGTAATTTACTTTGGTAAAAGATCTTTACGCAATGAAATTGTGCAAGCCTATTATAAGAAGAGATTTCAAATTGCTTCACAAGATGTTATAATTTTTAAGGAGATCCCATCTAAAATTTTAAGAAGAAGAAAGGAGTTTGCTTTTCTAGCAAATGAACTTAAAAAGAGAAAAATTCTATTCAGATGGGATGTTCCGACTGGAATGGTGGTGAACTACCTGGGGACATGTCATAGACTTAATACTGTTTCTCAAGCAAAAGATTTTTATACTTCGGTCCTGGGGGTATGTGCATCGCCATCTATTAGGTCTCAACAAGTCCAGATTGAGGAGCAGAAGACAACTTGTGTAGCACATAATTCCAAAGAAAAGCAGCAACAGAAGAAGGTTAAGGAAGTTTCATATTCAGTGGTCTCTGAATCTCTGGGAGATGTTGGACCTACAAAGTCTTTGGAGCAATCTTCAAGGGTGGAATTGCTGCCTGAAATGGAAATTGGGAAATCTCAGTTTGAGGGGTATCAACAAGAGAGGAACGGGCAGAGGATAACTTGTATAACTTACAATTGTAAAGATCAACACAAGGAGGAATTTAAGGAATCCTTACCTGTATTGGCTTCGGAAGTTAGACCTACAAAGTCTTTGGAGCAATCTTCAGAAATGGAAATTGGGAAATTTCAGCTTGAGGGGCACCGACAAGAGAGGAACGGGCAGAGGATAACTTGTACAACTTATAATTGTGAAGATCAACACAAGGAGGAATTCACTGAGGAAGTTTTACAGGTATCGGTCCTTGAGACTGGTGCAACATATAAATGTAAAGAAAAAGTAACATATAAATGTAAAGAGAAAGACCAACAGAAGAAGGAGGTTGAGGAAGTTTCACAGGTACTGATTCCTGAGCTTGGGGGTCAACCAGGACTTACAAACTCTTTGGAGCGATCTTCAAGGGCAGAATTCCACGCATTCTTTTCGATGCTTGCGGGCAAGAGAGACTGATATGGATTGTGCTTATAGTAGATGCAACTGGCTATCAGACAGAAGATTATGGATATTGAATGAAAATTTTAGATAAGAAGTTTGTGTTTATAGTGGATGTAATTGGTTATTGGACAGAAAATTATGGACATTGAATGAGAACTTTAGACAAGAAGTTTACTATTGAGATTGTCGGAGAAGTAAAACTTATATCGTTTTTGGAAAATGTCTTATTATTAATAATAATAATAATAATAATAATAATATTAATAATTATTAATAATAATAATAACATGTGTTTTGGGATAATAATATATTTCAGCTTTAAGTTTTAAACCTTTAATGATAATATTGTTTAAACTTGTGTTTTGAAGGGATTATAATTTGTTTATTTCAGTGAGGGGATTCTAATAAATTTGTGTTTCGAAGGGAGTATAACTTGTTTAAGTTTCAAGTAATGCTTAAATTTGGTTTTTAAATATTATTATTAATATTTCTAAGAGAAAATAATTTGTTTAATTAAATGTCTAGATTTGTTTAGGAAAGAAAGTAATGTTTAAATCTGTGTTTTTGGAGGAAGTCTATATAGAATGATGATTGTATTTAGACTTGTTTAGGATTTAAAAGTGTTTCAAGTTTTTAAATATTATTATTAATATTTTTAAGAGAAAATAATTTGCTTAGATTTGTTTAGGATTTTTAAGTTTTTTTTTTTGGATAGGTGAGAAGATTATGAAGATTGAAGGAAATATGTATTTATTTTAAGTTTTCTAAGAGTATTTAGTTTTAATGGTATAACAAAGGTTTATATGTTTATTTTTTTGTATTAGGATAAAGAAAGAGGGAGAAATTAGATTTTATATTATAGGCATAGATATTCAAAGAAAGTAATGTTTAAATTTGCGTTTTTGGAGGGAATTTATATAGAATGATGATTGTATTTAAATTTGTTTAGGTTTTAAAAGTGTTTTAAGTTTTTTTCTTAATTAAGCCTGTACTTAGCTCTGGGAAGTTCAGGGGAGGGCTTGGGAGGTTGGGGAGGAGGGGGGTGAGGTAGGGTTGGGGGGGGTATGGGAAGGGGATTTGTTTTTGTAAAAATTTAAAAATTTTCAATTAAAAAAAAAAGATAAACAAAAAAGAAAAAAATATATATATCATCTGACAAGCCTGATTTTCAGTCTTAGGCTTATGTTGTGACTGCAGAAGACCTTTTTCATTTTGAAGAACGCTGTTCGAGCTTTCTCTATCCTTACAGAATTACAGAATCCCAAAGTTGTTAAGTTACACTGTATGCTGCTGCTTCTCCTCTACCTCCTCTTCTATCTTTTTTCCCATTATCATCATCATCATCACCACTTTCACATGCAAAACATTTGTTTCTCGGATGGATGAAAAAAAAAAACACATTGAGAAATAATTTATTATGGATGGCCCCACAATCAGACAAGATTTAGATTGGACCCAGCATTTTTATCCACCTACTGAGTCCTTCCCAAAGAACTGGGATAAGCAGAATGTTGTTGTTTAATAATATTAAATATATTGTTGCAGCATGCAAGCTGTTCCAAGTAAAGTTGCTTTTTATAATAGACTGTAGAATTTGTCAATGCTGATGCTGTTCAAGTGGTATGCCTATTACTATTGGTACTTATGCTTTCTTTTGCCATGCCGCAGTCATTCTAGCTTCTATTTCCAAGTCTTCATATTTAATACTCCTGCCTCTTATTTTTTCTGGAGTAAACACAACAATCCTATCAGGTATTGGGCTAAAAGAGAATAACTGCCCGAAGTCATCTAGCCAGCTTTCATGCTTACTGTATGGCAGTGTTTCCCAAACTTGACAATTTTAAGGCATGTGGACTTCAACTCCCAGAATTCCACAGCCAGCAATGCTGGCTGTGGAATTCTGGGAGTTGAAGTCCACATGCCTTAAAATTGTCAAGTTTGGGAAACACTGCTGTATGGGAAGTTTAGAAATCACAGGCTTCTCCTGGTTTCCACTACACAAAATTGGCTTCACCACTACACAAAATTGGCTGCCTATGCCTCTGACATGTTAACAAGCTTTTTAAGAAGATGCTTATCTTTTCTCTTTGTTTTTCACTACTCCAGTATTACTCAAAAGGTGCTCTCTGAATCTCTGGAGAATATCATTTCAAGCAAGCCTACCAGAGTCTTGCAAAAGTATTTGTGCCAATTAGAAACCAGTGTGACAGTTCCAGAGTTCTGTGTAAAACCTGAGTTTTCTTTCTTTCTTTTTTGACACATTTTTGCTTTTCAAAGAAGGAACAATCATTCCTGGAGGACACAAGACTTCTATGCACAGTTCTGCTCTGACTCAGAGCCTGATGGAGATCTAGGGAAGAAGATTTGCAAGGAAAAAAAAGAGAGAGTAAAATTGCAAGGCTGAGAGACATATTTATAATAATTAAGCTGAAAATGTTATCTTAATGCAGCTCTGCGAGAGAGGGTGTTGAAGGAACATATAGCCTACTAGTGTTTTGTACAGTAAGTTGTAGCAGTTTAAGAGAGGCTACTCTAATGCAAGAAACACCCCTTCCTTCTTTCCTTCCTTCCTTCCTTCCTTCCTTCCTTCCTTCCTTCCTTCCTTCCTTCCTTCCTTCCTTCCTTTCTTTCTTCCCTCCCCCCTCCCTCTCTCCCTCCCTTCCCTTCCTCCCTCCCCCCTTCCTCCCTCCCTCCCTTCCAATGTCCCAAACATGGGAACAGCCCTGTTGTTTGAACATGAGTGTGTCTTGATTATATTTTAAAGTCATCATGTAATTGCTTCTTTCCCAAGCTCTGAAAAACTCTCACTTTATATAAAGTATAGCACATCTCATTTTTTCTTCTTTCCCTGAGAAGACTCAAAGAGCCCCCCGCCACCACCAAAAGCATATAATAAGTTCACTTCTGTCAAGTTAAGTTAAAAGTAGAACAGCATACATGTTTACATAAAATTTAAACAAATATCTCCCATGGGTTTCTGTATTGTGGGATGAAAATATTTATCTTCAGTCACTTATGTGTATATTCTCTCCCTAATTGGTTTTCTGAATATGTCTTGTTAGAAGTGTCCATTATCTATTTAGTTACTTCTAAGTGATAGAAAAAAGAAAGATGCTTTGGAGGTAATGGGCCAATGAAGTTGACCATGTACAAAATATCAATTTAGTGTTCCTGGAAAAGGTCACTTCTTATATTACAATCCTTGAGGTTGATTAACTGGGTTGTCTTCTTGTCTTCTATTATACATTCAGATCAGGGGTGTGATCATCATGTTTCATAAAGTGTATTAGCATGAGCACCACACCTCTCCAAGAAGCATTAAATCAACTGCAAGCTTTAAAAGGTTCCAATGTTTGTTTCAAAGGGTGTTCTCAGGTGACTGGATATGGGCATGCTTGCACACTGCTTCACTGATGATCCCAGCAGAAGTACTTGCCTGTGCAAGGACACCCTAGGAACATTCTTCAAGGAGCGTAGCTTCACTCACTCATGTATACAGACCCATTTATGTAAGCGGTGTAGTTGTGCTACCTTTATGCTTGATACTTTGTGCTTAGTAGGGATACGCAGTGGTTAGCAGGGTAAATGTGAAACCATCTTTTCTTCCATAATAGCAATAGCACTTAGACTTATATACCTCTTCATAGTGCTTTACAACCCTCTCTAGGCAGTTTACAGAGTTAGCATATTACTCTCAAACAATCTGTGTTCTCATTTTACTGTCCTCAGAAGGATGGAAGGCTGAGTCAACCTTGAGCTGGTGGAAATTTAACTCCTGGCAGTCGGCAGAATTAGCCTGCAATACTACATTCTAATCACTGCATCACCATGGCTCAATGAAATCTGAACTAAATATCAAGTTAGAAACCAGATCATCGGAAGTTATGAAATAAATGGCATGATTGCATGAGGACAGATGGCATCACAATATTAATTTGTTTATTGGTGAATTATTTTTGTTTTCACATTTTTCTTTTGCTTTTTCACTTTCAATAGATTATTTTTCATTTTTTAGTATTGGGATTCACTTTGTAAATTAACTATCTGAAAAGACACATAGCAACTCAGTATATAAACCAAATGAACTAAATTACTACTAGTTGAGATATCCCATTGGCTTGCTATAACTAGGAACAATATTTCAGAATATATTTCTATATTCTATAGTCATTTCATTTCTTTGCAAAATACGACATGTCTTATATCTCTCATCTCATAAGCTTTCACAACCTTACATTTTTCAAGTTATTATATTGTGAAGTTATCAACATTTTCCCTGCAAGAACAGATACCTAGCTATTTTATTTCATCTTTACTTGACCAGGAAGAAAGGATGAATCCATTTGAGCAAAACAGTCAGCTATTTCTCTGAGAAATAGCATAATATAACATGTCATTTCAATAAATATTTCTGGAAAATGATAATTCATATATTGAGCTGAAGGTTTCTTGACTTCTATCCCCCCAATAGCCATTACTCCACACAAATATTCTGCTTTGTAAAAATAGATAGTCTAGGTCTGCAGTGGCTTTTGTTCACGATAATCCACTCAGTGATTCAGAGGTGATTTTGAAAGACACAATCTATTCTGAAAACTGACAGCCTCAGCCTTGTGATGTTTCCAGCTCTAATCTACTTTGGAAAAGGCTGGAATTGTCTTGTAACTCATGTCATCTTTGTGCCCCTCTTTTATTTATTTATTTCTTAAAAGGGTAAGCTTGAAAATAGCCAGTGGACAGTGGTGAGATTCAGCCAGTTTGCACCACTTTGGCAGAACAGGTAGCTAATTTTTTGTTGCCCAGGCCCAGAATGGACTTCTGGAAGCGGTATCCACACAGAGACCTGGTTGCTCACGTATTTGAATCCCACCACTGCCAGTGGAGCTTAGCATATCTGGGAGGGGGAAAAAGTCATGGAATAGAAGGGTCTTCTAAGGTCCTCTAAATTGGTCTTCTACTGACATGGAAATTGAATAGTAGAGCACTCCTGATTGGTTGCCATTCAACTTTGATCTGAAAATCTCCAACAAGAAGAATCCATCTATTTCTTAGGTAGCCTATGTCATCACCAAACTGATCATTCCCTCAGGAAATCCTTGTTATCTCTTGCAAGGTATGCTACCTCCCATTTTCTCTATGAAGTAGATGGTACGGTATTTGTAAAATAATGTTTAAGGCATCAGAGTAGAATACAATGAAATGAAGTGCACTGGGGACAGGAGTGCACAAGGAGTGTAAAGAGAAGTATTTTAAAAATCACAATTGAAAAACACATCCCAGTCCTGAAGGGAGAGTACAGAGCATAGTGTGACTTCATCCATTCTTGGTTACTGGTTTGTTTTAGTGATGGGCCAACCAAGCGGGGCAGACGTGTGTGGCCATTTACCTATCTCAGAGCATTTGTCTTTGCCTCAGAATGGTTTGCCAAGTGCATATTTCCATCTTTTTTGGGTTTGTTTGGGGTTTTTTTTGTGTGTTGTTTGTTTGTTTGTTTCTGTTCTGTGATTAGAAACATCGCACTACATATTGATAAGTGTATGATCCAGCTCCAGTCCTGCAACTTTCCTAGGGAGTATTATTCCTTTCTTGGGTAATCAGTTTCAGAAGGAACAGATTGCTGATGATCATTCACAGTTCATTCATGGCAGGAACATTGTAGAGTATATGGCCCCATAGGAATAATTGATTAATGCAGTTTCTCATCCTGAAGCAGAATGTTGATTCCCAGAAGGGTGAGTATTTCAGCAGCATTAAAGCATGGCTAGGAAAAAGAGAAGACATCATTTCAGAGGGGGGGGGGGGAAATAAGTCAAAGAAGTTTACATCTAATATCCCAAGTTAAATTGGTGGCCTGGGCAATGAATCAAAATCCAAAGAAATTAATTCTTCCATGTAATCAAAGTTGTCTAGCAACTACTTAAGTACAAAAAATAGATTTGAAGAAGGAAGCTTCTGGATGTTGGGGGGAAAAACACAACTGTGAATAAGAGTAAGAATGCTTTCAGAATGTAGGGTGGAGTCCAAAGAGGGAGGGAGGGAGGGAGGGAGGGAGGGAGGGAGGAAGGAAGGAAGGAAGGAAGGAAGGAAGGAAGGAAGGAAGGAAGGAAGGAAGGAAGGAAGGAAGGAAGGAAGGAAGGTTCTCATCTTACATGGAAATTTATAGAGCAACACATAACAAAAAGTATATGAAGTTGTCATCAACTAAAGTAAAAAATTAAAATGAATGTATCCAAGCTACATTTTTCTCCATCTCATACTCCACATATTGGAGTGACTAATATTCAGAAAAGTCTATAAAATCTAATGGGTTCATTGTTGAGAGAGTGCTGTAAAACACTATGGAGCAGTATATAAGTCTAAGTGCTATTGCTATTCATAAAAAAACCAAAATGAACATCATGTCATTGCAACATAAGTTCCAACACATTTACAAAAGAGCCTACATCAAGTAGCATGATACTTGTTTCACTATTTGCTCTCTTTAAGCCCTCATCCCAGTGCAATTTATAGAATTATATATTGTTCATGTTGTTTGCACATTTCGGATCATGGTTTTTACCTTGTTATATATCAATTAATGAATCAGATAAGCCTACGTCAGAAACTGATATGTGGAAATGGTCTGACTATGGACAGGGATAGACAAGGCAGTTTTAGCAACATGACTTCTGGCGACAAACCGCTATTACTATTTCCCCATTTTTACTTTTGGGTGTGATTAAAGCAAGTCAGCCAAGCTAAGTGGCATTACCCAGCCAAATTTCATAAAGCTAAACAAAGTCAGACCTTGGATGAATACACCCTCCAGTTCCCTCAGCTTAGGAAATCAAAACAGCAACCTGGAGAAAAGCAGTAGCAAATCATTTTGCACTGTTGCCTAGAAAATTATCAGGATATGTCCATGAAATAAAAATACTTCAGCCTCAACTCAAAGGAGATTTTCCTTTTCAAACTTAGTAAGGCACTTTGCACATGGTGTGAATAATTTCACATGAACCAACATAAAGTCATAATGCATTCTCAAGTTTTTGGAGTAAAATTGTTGGTAAAATGAGCAATATTTTTTATCATTTTTGCTCAGCTCGCATTTTTCTCAGTTTGCTTAGTTATTTTCTCCTATTCCTACTTTTCCCTATATCTTGTTTCTAATCATTGTTGCTAGGAGCCTCACTTTCAAAAGGCAGGAAAAAAATTATTTATTCAATTTGTACAGCTGCCCATGTCAGACAAGTGACTCTGGCTGCCGAACAATCATAACTAATTACCCACATAATGTTTCATGACTTCATATTGGTCCCATCAAAGCATGCTTTGAAAACAGAAGTGTAGAACTTTTGTCAGGGGAAGGGAGTCTGTGACATGCTAGACCAAAAGGTAGATGGGGCCAGGACAACGATTAAATGAGATATAATTAAATGTAAAGCAAGTTTAATTAAAATTAATAATATCAACATTACTCATTTTATACTGGCATTTACACATCTTAAAATTGCTCCATTTCCCCTTTAGTAAAACATTCTACTGTAGCACACAAATTCATGCACTTGCTCTAGGTCTTTTTACTGCACATCTATAATTTTCTATCATTCACTCCACCTTCCCTGTCAAACATAACTACCTTTGTCTCTGACGTATTCATTTTCAGATCCATGCTCCGTGTTGCATCCTATAATCTAACATTTGCTGCAAATAATTCAAGTTCTCCTCCAACAACAGGGCATCATCTGAACCAAACGTGTCCATCATTCCTATCCCTAAACAACAAACAGCCAATATCATCCCAAGCATCTCTCTTAACATGCATCTACAATATAAATATATTAAATAACAAGGGACATCACCCATCTGTTACTTCCCACTCAATGTTGAATCTTTCACTAAATATCCATTAATTAATTCTCCCACATGCTTTACTTCTTTTATTCCACATTCTTTAGTCTTTCATCATAAGCTACTGTTGAAAGAAAAATCTTCATCAGGGTCCAGTCCAAGCTGGGAATAAACAAAATGGAGACTGCTTTAGGAAGGAAGGTTCTTGTTTATTGAGGAGCAGAACCATAAGACATGTGGCTCTGGAGCAGCTGACCACATTTTTCTGAGAGTGGTGGGTTTTTATACTTTCTTGGGCTTTTGTGTATGGAATTGTTCTGGTTCCTGTGGCTTCGTATTTCCTGTTTCATGTACTTTGACCTGAGGATGAGTGTGCCTTTTTTGTATTCTGACGATGGTGGGTTAATCCTATTATTTCCTAAAGGTCACGTGCTGCTTCCCTGGGGCTGTGGCTGATGGCCATGTCCTGTGTTGGATTTTTTGGGTTAGGGATTGTTGGTTCTAGGGATCTTTGTCTTTATAATCCCATCAACTCCAAGCTTCCTGGCTCCAGTCTTTCTGAAAGGATTATCAAATCTGCATTTCTACAGAGCTGGTTTCTGCTTGGGACAGAGAGACTTGGGGTGGTGGTGGTTTCTGCCTAAGATTTTCTATTATTCCTTTGGGGATATATATTCTGATTGTTTAATATCCCCCAAACTATTTGCTTCTGGGAGGGCGGTTCTGTCTTCCTACACTACCAAATCAGCCATGCTTTAGATTCCAATAAATTCCTTTCTCATATGCACATATAAATAGATTTCTAATTAAAACACATAGGAAAAAAAGAAATAGATCTTTCCTAAGCAGATGCTCATACAACTTCCTTGTTCTCATCATCTTTGGGTCACACAATCACTTTTTCTTCATTTTTCACCCATCCATCCATTCATATCACCTAGCGCAAGGGTGGGCAACCTTGGATCTTTTATGACTTGTGGACTTCAACTCCCAGAATTCCTGAGCCAGCCATGCTGGCTTAGGAATTCTGAGAGTTGAAGTCCACGAGTCATAAAAAAAAAGCCAAGGTTGCCTACCCCTGACCTATCAGAATAGTTTCCCCTGGATTGGAGAGGAAATAGGTATGCAAGTCCTGTTTTTTTTTTAATTGATAAGCTTTTCTTGTTTATGAGCTGGTTGAGAAACATGAAGTCTATAAAATAGGATTAATACTGTACTGTACTATGCTTTATTGATAGTTTATGCCTTTCTTTCAATGTCTTTCTTACTGCCATTGAATTTTGTTTTGTTTTTTATATAGTATGTTTCAGTGCTTTCCAGATTTTACAGTGGCCAGCTCAAAAAAATCTATGCATTCCTATTCAGACATGAAAATAGCATCAGCAAATAAAGGCCTCATGCAAACATGCAGAAATAAGAAACATTGGTATAAACAAGCATGTTAAGCAAATAAGTATACACACATTGGTCCAGATTCATAATGCCAGCCCTACATGAATCATATCTAGGACCTTTTTCATAGAATTAATATGCTCTTTTAATGAAAAGCCCATCTGTTTAGGATCCAAATAAAAAGGGATCTTTCTCCTTATGTTTTAAAATACTTAACTCCAGATGTGATTTAAGAAATTTTGCAAAATTTCCCATGCCTTGGGTTAGTGTGTTTATGAAGCTTCCATCATTTTTTTTTTAATTTGTTGTGTGGGTTTTTTGGGGGGAGAATCTGGGCAGTTATTTATGATTTGCTGTCATGTGTTAGTTATGTTAATAGTATATTATGATGTTGTAAGCCACACCCCCCCAGAGTCTTCTAGAGTTAGAAGCCCTTATATATTTTAATAGTACTATTGCTAAATAATACTATAACTACTATTACTACTACTAATAACAATAATAAATTGTATATTATGTATTATAATATATACATATATATATTATATTATTATTATTACCACTACTATAATAATATCATACTATATATTATAAACTACATTTTCAGTCTGCAAAGAAGCATAAAGTTTTAGGGAAGGAGATAATATGCATGAAGGGGTATTCTTCCTTTATCGTCCTACGTGAAACAATCGTATAGTAACTATTTTACTCTATGTTACTTTGTCATGGCAAATTTAGTAGCAAACATCTTAAGGGATATTAAATTTTAATAGCCTGACATCTTAAAAATTCCTCTACACTTCCTTAAATATTGAGTATTAGAATCAGGCTTCTTTGCAATATACGGCTTTGGAGTGATTCATAGAATCAAACTTTTTTTTTTTTTGTACCTTGAACAATGCTCCAAATGTAGATCACATTAAAATCATCAGATATATTAGTTCTATTTGGCTTCATCATTTTTGCTTTTTCTCTTTCCCACTTTTTCTGTCCAATCTTCTCAAACTCACCATTATGACAAACAGCAACATTTTGGCTAACCATCAGTTCTCCTCCATTGTTTGTTCTCAACTATCTCTAGTTAATATTTCTCAATTTCCCCCTCCAGAAAAGTGCTAGATTGTGTGCTGCAGGATATATACTTTTGTGGGAGACATCAACAAGCTTGGTGAGTGGCAGGCAGAGATTGTCCTATCACACCCATGTAAATAGATCTGATATGAACTTCCATAGGAAGAGTCTTTTTTCTTTCATAGGGGGCTTTTTTCTAGCTGAAATACAATAATTTTTCAGAGACAATTCTTGTAACTTTATACACACACACACAAGACCCTTTACTCTTAACTTAGTTTCTATAGTTAACAATATTTATGTATTTATTTAAAACACTTAAATCTACCTGAGGCAATTTTTAGTATTGGGTTTTTTCCTCCCTTTTTTTTTTTTTTTTGCAAACATCAGTATCATTTTATAAGAAAGCAAACTGAAAATATTTCAAGAGAAAGCAATTAAAGACCAAAAAATATTACCTACCCACCC